CCTCCCCCCCCCTCCCTTTCCCCCTGAAATCAAAAAAAATATTACAAAAAAAAAAAAAATCCTGCCCTAACCAGTTTGGCACAATGGATAGAGCATCGGCCCATGAACTGAAGGGTCCCGGGTTCGATTTCGGTCAAGGGCATGTACCTTGCTTGCGGGCTCAATCCCCAGTTGGGGGCATGCAGGAGGCAGCTGGTCAATGTTTCTCTCTCATTGATGTTTCTAACTCTCTCTCTCCCTTCCTCTCTGTAAAAATCAATAAAATATATATATAAAAATTTCAATCCTGGGCAAGGATTAACAATAATAAAAATGTGACTTTCTGGCACAAACACTAGCAGTCCTTGTGGAGTTTTTACATATTTACCCAACTGAAAACTAAGCATAGTGGAAAGCCCGCAGGTGCCTAGCAACCTGGATAAACAATTGTAGGGTGGGACCTCACCCCCAGGGTGACTTTTCCTCCCCTAACATATAGCTAGTGGTGAGGTTTGACCTCCAGGCCTTTCCTCCCTAGAGATCAGTGGTTCTCAACCTTTCTAATGCCGCGACCCTTTAATACAGTTCTTCATGTTGTGGTGACCCCCAATTTCATTGTTACAAATTGAACATAATTAAAGCATAGTGATTAATCACAAAAACAATATGTAATTATATATGTGTTTCCCGATGGTCTTAGGTGACCCCTGTGAAAGGGTCATTCAACCCCCAAAGGAGTCGCGACCCATAGGTTGAGAACCTCTGCTAGAGATAACATCTATGCCTCAGTTGTACTTCAGCTCCAGGCCCAGAAAAGCAAAAAAAAACAACAACAAAAAAAAACAAAAACAGAAAAACAGCCTCAGGAGGACCAGCTGCATGGAATAATGACCCTGCCCTGGTGCTGGCCAATCAGTGGAGACCACAACTCTGAAAGGATACATCTAGAAAGCTCCTGAATATTCTATTGAGATTTTCCCCTGGGATCCCCACCCTAAAATCTCTGCCCTTAAAACCCTTAGGACAGAGGGTTGGGCACACCCATGGCTTTCCCTTTTACTTTCCTCTCCCCCCACCCTACCCCAGGCACTTAACCATTAGCTTCCACTCCCAAGCTCCAAGGGCCCTTCCTTTACCTCTATAACTTGTTTCCTAAGCCCATTTCTTCTAGGAATTACTTTTTCTACCTCTGTAACTTACCAAATAAATGTTCTCTTATAAAAAAAAAAAAAAAAAAAACACAAAAGAAAAAAAAACACTAAGTACTAAAATACAAATTGTGGCCCACCAGTGTGGCTCAGTGGTTGAGCGTCAACGTATGAACTAGGAGGTCACGGTTCGGTTCCGGTCAGGGCCTGCGGTTGCAGCTCCATCCCTAGTGAGGGACATGGAGAAGGCAGTTGATCAATGATTCTCTCTCATCATTGATGTTTCTAGCTCTCTCTCCCCATTGCTTCTCTGAAATTAATAAAAAATATATTTAAATAAAATATAAATTGTGTTTCTATTTAATAAAACTAAATCATCTCCTAGTAAATGGATAAATAAATGAAATCATACAATAAAATCATCCTCTATCAAGCTTTTAACCAAAGTCTCCCTCTTTTATTTTTTTTCTTTTGTGGACGAAAGGAGCGACATGCTAACCTGACAAGCTCAAGGGAGGCCTGCGTGGCAGCCGAGCAAACTCAGAGACCTAAAGTAACCACAAAAGATGGTCTGAAAATTAAATATTTAACTACAAACAGGTTATAGTGGGTAGTCCCGTCCTAAGCCTATATCATCACTGACAAGGTCAACCTTTACTGTAACTGAGCCTATCTGTCTTTTTGCATCTATGATAACATATCCTTGAAATGTCTGGGTAACTTGTGACTTCCCTTTTTATGGAGCCCCTGGGGCACAACCAAATGTGCTGGGCGCCAGGACAGATACCACAGATTCCTTCATTTATCATGTTAATTGTTTTTGTACCCACTTAAGTATGTGTCCATCATTTTACTTTTTATCCAATCCCAGGGGTTTCCCTGCTTTGCTTATCCCTCCTCCTTAATCTATCACCAATGAATTCCATGTAACCCACCTATGTTCCTCCTTTGATTGCAATGTATAAATGCAAATGTAACCCCACCATTCTCCAGAGCACTATATCAATTCGTTGAGGTTCTGCTTCCCAGCATATGTCGACAGTTTGGCTCAAATAAACTCACAAAAATTCTTTACAGGTTTCAATGGTTTTTTTACGTTAACACTTTTAATGAGCTCCATGTTTCTAATCCACATGTACTGAATTGTCACTTTTGTAAAAAAATCAAAAAGTATAAGAGCAAAGTATTTAATCAATAAGGAAGATCTATTGTTTAAACACTGAGTTGATATG